ATTAACAGGCTTTGATGAATTAAGTCAACTGCATCCAGATGAATCTCTTCTTAATTGTTGTCCAAAGTACATAAGAAGGAGCTTTAAACAGTAACAATACAGAAGCGCTCTGCCTAGATGATGGTTCTCAATTATCAGTCGTAAATTTGTTTAATAATGTTAAAAAAGATTATCTTATAAGGCTCATTTATAAGATGATTACAGTGCAGGAAGTATTTTATAGGAATAACCCTGTGATTTGGATGAAGTGGACGCTTGAAACGATTATGTAATGAAATGAAAGAATAATGTTTCCATAAATCAATTTGGAGAATAATAATCCATTTGAGGTGCAGCTAGTCTAATAACAACCCTGAATTGTGCACCGCTGGAAACTGCCAACTTCCTACCAACTAGAAATGCAAATAGACAAGAGAAACTTTAACTAATCGTTCTTAATCATACATCCAAGGTCATGTCATCCTGGTTAGACTGTGTAAAAATAAAACAGTAGTGATCAATCCAGAAACATTTTCTTCTAGATTAAAAAATGTTTTCTTGAGAAATACAATGCTGCCAGAAACAAGGTTCCTGTTGTGTGGAGTTCAGTCAGATATCTAAGTTTTAATATCATTCTGGTTTTCTACAAGCATTCTCATAGGCAGACCCACTTCACTGGGTACATCCAGAAGAAAAAAATATTTTTCAGGAATCACCTGATTTCAATAACTTAGATGATTTTTAATCAAAATATAACAAAATGATACTTTAAATTACTATTTTAAAGACTAATGTGTCAGGTTCTGTGGAGGGTTTTTTCAAAACCCAAAAGCAAACATGAGATGCAAAGAAACGACAAGGAACCAGCAAAGAATGACTGAACAGAAGGAGTATATATGGGACACAGAAACAATGGGAGGACTAATTAGCAGACGAGGAACAGGTGTGGACATAAGAAACTGGAAGGGAGCTACAGGAAGGAGACTGACACAAGAAGAAAACAGGCTAAACAACAAATGCATAAGAACTCAAATACATCCAAAAACAACTAGAATAACACAAATCGAAATAAAAACAATGAAAACTCAAAAAGAAAGCTTAAACAAAACTAAAACCATGACCTAATGAAGAGTAGACTATTTGTTTTTCAAATGAAATGCCCTTGTGATGCAACAAGGCGTAGCTATTTGATTTGCATCTGACTTGGAACGTGCTTAGAAGGTTGGACCTCCATGCTGTTCAGATAGATCAGGCTCCAACCACCGATTTCTCTGATGCGAGCTAAACAAACTGACAAAGATTCTTAGATAGGCAACAAAGCATCTTCAAAAAACTGAATCAAAGTCCTGTAGCCTTCCTATTTACACCCTGGACAGGGCCACCTTTTACAGTTGCTTTTTGTATATCTGCTTCTGTCTCCTTGAACCCCAGTCGGCCTCGGCAGATGGCCGCTCACACTGAGCCTGGTTCTACTGGAGGTTTCTTCCTGTCGCTACAAGCATGCTTAGTGGGAGGGATTGCATTCGAGTCAATGAGTCGATGATAGAAAACTTTGAATAAATTTGACTGGATGATCTGGTGAACTGTAAAATGCCTCGAGATAACATGTGATGTGAATTGGCACTGTATAAATAAACTGAATTGAATTGTTGCCACGACCTCGATGACTGAGAATTTTCATAGGTATCTAATGGGGATTGATTTGTTTTTTAAAGCTGGGTACAAATTATGAATATCTAATATGGAAGACAAGTAAATACAGTTTACGTTTCCAGGTGTGTTCCTGGGTTTCAGTTTCCCTTTCTCAACCTACCCATTACTTAGATCAGTCAAGAAAACAGCAAGTCACTGTGTTTGATAACTGGATGCAGAAGAAGGCCAGAAGCACCTGAGGAACAGATACATTTTTCCCCTGTCTGAAGATTTAGAAGTTGTACTTCGAGACTCATAAACAGCTTCTTCCCCAGAGCTGTGACCTCCATCATGTCCTCTAGATTCAGATACAACCAACACAAAATGCACTTTCCATTTCATGAATTTTTTCAACACTTGTACACTGTAGCTATTAATTATTAATTAATAGTCAAAACGTTCCAGCCTGTACACAATGGTATGCATTTACAGTACAGTAAATAAAATAACCCAGAACTGAATAAATAGCAGCAGATTATCATTATTAGTATAGCTGAGCGCCTTTCAACACCAGAATCCTTTAATGCTTTAAAAAATGCTTTAAAAAATGATTCTCTTGAACAGCAACTGTGGGATCTTTGGTCCAAAACAGGCACACTTTAAACAGCTTTGCTTGTTTGAAAAATTCTGCTGGTAACTTTTGCTGATTAAAAATTATAGGAATAAGTAGTGAACAAGTCATCCACAAGGGGGCGGAAGAACAAAACATAACAAACTTACTGTATATAGAAAAAAAACAGCTATTGGGTATTTTTTAAAGAAATCCTGGTTTCATAATGCAAATGTAACTTAAAAAGAGGAAATTAGATTAGATTTTTAGTTTCCAGTAAAATGCTGTTTCTGAAATGCATGATCAAATCCAGGTTTAAAAAGGAAACTGTGTTTCTATTTTCTTAAATTGTCTCAAATAAAGAAACAAGAAACATAAATGTGCACTAGAAATAATCTTCAGTTCTGACATTAGTTGGAAATTTGAGAAACACAAGCTCCCTTCCTCTAGATTTATAACAAGACTTTTGGACAGATAAAAGCACCTCGTCTGCATATCAAACAACAAACACAGAGATGTGGTTATGGAACAGTTCAGATAAATGGCCATTTTGTTACTTTAAACCAAAAAAATAATATTAAAACTGATTCAAAATCTATCAAGGATGCAGCGGAGGGATGCTAAAAGAGGAACTACGTTCCCATTTATTTTGACCCGTTAAAAATTGAGCTGCAGCATTCTGTACCAGCTGTATCTGAATAAGTTGCCTCACTTACACCAATCAATAGAGAATTACAATAGTCCGGGTGTGAGGTGATGAAAGCATAGGCCGTGATTGCAAGACGGTGCCAAGATAAGAGGGGCTTTATTTTTGACTGCTACCTCAGCTGAAAAAAAAATAATATGACTTGTGCATTTACATGTGCATTAAGTTTTAGGCCATGATCCATTTTTACTCATGGATTAGAAACACTGGACATTTCTTAAGGTGCCACAAAGGACAGATCCAAATAAAGAACATTGTTTGGACTGCAGGAATTGAAAACACATAACCTCTTTTATTCATTACAAATGGAAAAATTTAGGGAAATCCATCGCCTGATAGATTGGGAAAACATGCAATCCACATTAGCAATCATTTGAGCATGTGATCTGTTGTTTCAGTAAAAAAACTAAACTAATTATGGAAACTCTTTATCTTTTAGGCTCGTGTAGTGTTAGTACTTTGCGTTGGTTATTACTCTGCGAACCGGGGTTGCAGCAACTCCAGTTTGAATCCAGATCACAGCATGAACCACTAATTGGAAATGATTTTAAGAGGGGCGATGGCCTAGTGGTTAGAGTGGTTTGCTTGTGCTCTGAGAAAGTTGCAAGTACTCTGTTCGATCCCCAGAGTCTGCACTCTGGGTCCCTGAGCAAGACCCTTAACCCCACACTGCTCACAAGGGGATGCACAATGGCAGCCTACTCCTCCCCAAGGGTATGAGTTAAAAGCAGAGGTACATTTCTCCAATCTGAGTTCATCCATCCATTTTCTGTTGCTCTTATCCTAAGCAGGGTCGCGAGGGGGTGCCTATGTCCAGCTGTCTACAGGCGAGAGGCGGGGTACAGACCCAGATCATTGCAGGGAAACACCGAGACAAACAACCATTCACTCACACCTAAGGAGAATTAAAAGAAGCCACTTAACCAAGCAGTCATGTTTTTTGGACTGTGGGAGGAAGCCGGAGTACCCTGGGAAAACCCATGCATGCTCAGGGAGAACATGCAAAATCCATGCAGAAAGAACCCGGGCCGGGAATAGAACCCGGAACCTTCTTGCTGTAAGGTAGCAGTGCTACCCACTGCATCACTGAGCAGCAAATATCAGATCAATATAGTTCAATTATTATAAGTCTTCTTTTGGGAGCTGCAGGGAAGAATTTTACTGTTTTTATTATAGGTGGTATGGTTCAGCATGTTTTTTTTAAAGAAACGACCTAGCTCATCGTTATTTAACGAATGTCACTGTAACCCATTATTAACTTGCCTAAACAATGAATCACTCCAACCTCTGTGGGTTTTGGCCAAAAGTTGGACCAAATCATAAGGAAGGCTTTTCATCAGTGATTCCCAACTGGGGTTATGCAGACCCTTTGTGGCCTGCAAGTGCATTTCATGGGGTACATGAAAATATTTTATTTCTTGGGTAGGAAAGTAAAATAGGGCTGGGGTCAGTTTTGCTTTGTGAGGACCCAATTGAAAAAACAAGCTTTTATGAACCAAAAAGCAAGTGTTTCTTATAAGTTTGAGTTCACCTTCAGCTTTGACACACATCAAAACCAATCAGAGGACCAGAGTGGATGTAGAGAGCTGCCTGATTTCAGCTGTTTTTCACTCAGCTATTGGATCTCATCAAAGCAGCTCTGGTGTCTTGATGAAAACAAAATTCAAAAGTTTTGTTCTGTAATTAGTTCCCTATTCATCAAGTTTAAATGTGATTAGAGGGGAGTTACTCAGCGGAGCTCCAGCTTTATAAATACTGGTTTATATAATTTTTTGTATTTCTTTCGATTCCTTACCTTCTTCCAGGAAACTTTTTTTATTTTTATTTGAGATGTAAAGCATAAAATGTCTAAAAATATTTAAGGCCAAATTAAAAGATTAAGTAAAATAGTTTGTATCTTATAGTGATTGTACGTTCCACTTTTGAACAATTATCAATACATTTGACTGAGGGTGTATTCATGGTAAGAAAAGTTGGATTAATCATGTTTGTGAATAAAATTGGCAAATTCTCAACTCTTCTGGTACCGTTTCAATTTCAATGTCAACAGATTTCATACAATTAAGAATGGTCTATATTCAGATATGCAACTGTTTTATTTCCACCAGATCATACATTTTAATGCATAAATCCAAAAATTACCTGACTGATTGGGTTTTTAAACATTTTCTTTTTTTCCAGTTTTGCTCTGAAGCAGTAACACACACAGATTCTGTTTATTTCAATTACAACTATACATTCCCAATCACAAAGGAACACAGTAAGAACATAAAACATCACAAAAATGTCCATTAACATGTATGAAAAATTTCATAAAAAAATTAAAATGATTTTCTAAAAAAAAAAAAAAAAAAAAAAAAAATGAGATGCATAAAAAAGTATATATATATATATATATATATATATATATATATATATATATATATATATATATATATATATATATATATATATATATATATATATATATATATATATATATATATATATATATATATATACACACACACACAATTTCTATCTATAGGACAATAGAAAGCGTTTCTGCCACCATCTGAATTGCCCTGAGAGGATCCACAATGTCTTTTAGTTTGTCCTTCCTGAGAACCCAGTCAGGTGCAAACCTGAAAAAACAAGAACAGAAAAGCATAATTTTAGTTTTATGTTTAAAAAAAAAGTGTTGGAGTTCATTGCACGTTATGATCAAATGCACATACTTTGGGGGTGGCCGAGATTTACGAGGCGTCGCTGGAACATAGAAGCTCCCATTAACTGAAGCGTTTAATTTTTGACGGATTATGGTTCTTTCTTCATCCATCTTGTGTTTGCGAGCAGTTAGCTTGTAGATACTGCGTATCCTGTCCAAAGCTTTTGGAAGCTTAAACTCCTGAAGAGAAATTTGTCATTTTTAGCTTTATTTATTTTGAACTGTTGTAAATAGAGGTAAATTTAAATGACTGTGCAGACCTCAGCACAACGCTTGTCCTGGAGCAGTAGGGCAAGAAGGAAGCAGGCTTTTGTGAATATGCTGCCACCCTTTTCCGCAACTTTATCTCCTGCTTTCTCACGGTATTTTTGCAGTAAATCCAAGAGAGTCTCGAGGGAATGTTCCACTGTATACACAGCCTCTACAGTCAGGTGATACTAAAGGGAAAACAGAACAAACAAAAATTACGGTATTACAGCATAAAGAGTGGAAATGGGACAAATGAATAAATGCCTCACATGGATTAGTAAGTAAACAGACACTTTCAACAGAGCAACTGATTTATCTTTTGCCACGTTATATACTGATTTTTAAAAAGGGACAAGTCTCAAATTTGAATCTGAATACATTTCTTCCAGATTATGTTGCGGTTTTCATGCTGGTAGTTTTAGCAAAAAATAAGAAATTTACTTCTAAACAACTTACTAAGTAATAGCAAGTTTACCTCAAGTATCAGAATAAATATGACATTTATTATATTTTTGTAAAACAGCTCATGATCTGAATTTACTACCTAACATACACAGAGTAAGTAGGTTTGAGTATTGGCAAGGGTTTTAAAATACGTTATGCATCACGATACTTGGCTCACGATATATTGTGATATTGAAATATCACAATATATAAGTGCTGTATATGTTAAGAAGATATTGATCATTCAATTACTTTGTTGCTTGGGGCTTTAATTAGTCCAGTTTGAATCAGATTTCCTCCCTTTGTTTTAAGGTAAATTAGAACTTTTTTTAAAAATGTATACTAGGAGCTGAAAGACTGACAAAAAAGTAGAGGACAGATTAAAATAAATGAATTAAACTCAAGATCTACCATGCAATCACTGTCAAAACAACACATCAATGTAATAAATTGAAAAAAGTGCTTTGCATGCACAAAACCTGAGCTGTTAGTGATGAAACAGATGGACACCATTGTTTCTGCTCTGTGCATGTTGTACCTTGGACAGGTTGAGGAGGATCTGGACGGAGAAGGTAATGACCTCCATGCAGGGTCCGCTCCTGTTGCAGCTGCGTATCAGCGTGAAGATGACATTGGTGGCTCCACTTTCTACCAGCCGCCCACAGCACTCTGGCGACAGCCTAGTGGCGGTTTCTGCACAGAAAGTTTACATATTAAACATATTTTGTGAAGAAAACGCCTGACAGCCAAACGCAGAGAAATTGGCTTTGTGCTTCAAAGCCAATTTTATCATCACAGCAGCATCAGGATTATTCACAACAAATTAACACCCATTTGTCTTACCGAGATTTTTCAGAGCTTCTAGAATGTAGGAGAAATGTTTGTATCGGAGGAGATACTCCAGCGCAGAGGAGGTCTTGTTGTATAGTTTGTCTTCTTCTTTTACTTCTGCAGAGACTTTGCGTAATCGGTATCTCAACTTGACCACCTTAGGATTGTCGTTCAGTAGGCGGGAGCGGTGTCCTCTCCACAGAGCCTGAAGGGATAAAGATGAGATGTTCAAGACCCACCTTCTGTCAAGACCAGTTCTGGCATTATGAAGAGTAAGCATCTGAACAGTAAAGTGAAGTACCTTTTAAGCCACAAAGACCATTCAATGAAATTATTATTGAAACAAAAATATTCAAAATTTGAGGCTTTAGATTATATATTTGAAATATTTTTATGTAATTACCGTATTTTCACGACTATAAGGCGCACATAAACGTCTTTTTTTTTTCCCCCTCAAAATGTGCGGTGCGCCCTTTGGTGCGGTGCGCCCTATGTGTGTTGTAACTGCGACTTTTGAGACCACCTCATTGAGGAGATGATGAAAGAGTGGCTGAGGGAGGTGAATGTAAGGAGACCAGGTGGTTTTTTTCCCACTCATCACTATTGCTGTTATTCTGTGACTCCGTGCGTGCCCATCTCACAGCTGATGTGAAAAACATGGTGAAACAAATTAACACTGTGCTTGCTGTTATTCAACTGCTCAACATCGGTGTGAACCGGACGCAGCAGGCGCAGCGAGTTTACATGCAAAGTCAATGGTTGACGCGCATATAGGCGCAGCAAAAGGTCCCGCAGCGCGTTTTGAGCAGCAGGCGCAGCGCGTCGGGAGCGTTTAAGCATCTGACGCACCGCCAACGCGCTGCTGCAGCTCGAGATGGAAAAATTGAAGTTTTGCTGCTGGACACGCCGCATCAACCAATCAGAGAAGCTGATCTGGGAGCTGACAGCGAGACAGACACAGCGCTCTGATGACATATGATATTAAGGCAAATGAAAAAGGCTGGATGGATGCGGAGATGATGAAAGCGTGGCTGAGGGAGCTGTATGTGAGGAGACCAGGTGGTTTTTTTCCACGCATTACCATCGCTAAATCTGTGACTCCATGCGTGCCCATCTCACAGCCGATGTGAAAAACATGGTGAAACAAATAAACGATGTGCTTGCTGTTATCCCGGGGGTCTGACAAAGGAACTTCAACCGCTCGACATCGGTGTGAACCGGCCGTTCAAAGTAAGGCTGCGAGCGGCGTGGGAGCGATGGATGACAGACGGAGAACACAGTTTCAGGATAAGTGGAAGGCAGCGCCGGGCAAGTTACGCCACCGTTTGCGGATGGATTGTTGATGCTTGGACTAACGTGTCTGCTGGCTCTGTTGTTTGAGCTTTCGCAAAAGCCGGCATTATTTCCGAGGAGCCGCCCGGCACGGAAAGTGACTCTGACAGCGAAGAAGGGGAAATTGGCATGTCTGATTTAGCGCAGCTGTTTAATTCAGAAACAGAGGATGATGACTTTGATTTATTCTTTGTAATAAATACATGAATAAAGCACAAACATACTCAGTTTTGCTCCCGCTCTATTTTTCTACCTGAAAACTTAATTCAACAGCAGCATCTGGGCAGGGTTCACCGCGGCGGCTGGCAGGTGTTTTTCATCTAAATAATCTAAATCTTGCAGCTATATTTCCTGTGATCAGTGGGAATAAAGTAGTTTTAATATGTTTTTAAGTGAGAAAGGCCACCTGAAAACTTAATAATTGCAGTCTGTTCATCCAGATTATCATTGTGCCTATACTATTTCTGTCGGAGCCGCTCAGACCCCGACATACCAGCGATACACCGACAGTAGGAACCCCTTCAAGAGCAGCCTCTGGGCTGGGTCGCCTCCGGGTTCACCGCGGCTGCTGGCAGGTGTTTTTCATCTAAATAATTTAAACTGCAGGCACCAGGATGCCGGTAATAAAAGTGAACATATTCTGTCGGCAGGTTTCAGGATTTTAAGTTAATTTAGGAGTGATCACAGCACTCTGTCATCAGCAATGTGGGCCAGCTTCCAGGTTTGATTAATACTTTGTAATAAAGACATGACTAAAGCACAGTCATACTCAGTTTTGCTCCCGCTCTATTTTTAAATTCGCAGTAGAGCTATTTAAAGGTAGTAGAGGACATGTACCTGTATATAAAAAACGCGCCCTATAGTCCGGTGCGCCTTATGTGTGTGTTAAATACAGAAATGGCACACATAACTGAGACTGCGCCTTTTAGTACGGTGCGCCTTATGGTCTTGAAAATACGGTATATATATTTATTCATGCACTTTAACTCAGACTGGCTAAGATCCTGGCTCTGGTTAACATTCAAGCACAGCTTAAACTGAGTTTGGTTGATGTTTGGTCCATAGTAAAAGCTGAATGCTTTAACTTAAAATTTTTACCCAAAATCTGATGTGTGTTTGTGATCATTAGCTAGATCAACCAATACACTCTAATGTAAGCAGTTTAGCATTACGTTTCTTGAATAATCTCGATCTAAACCCTCCTGGTAATGCAGCATGCTCAAAAGGTCCCGCCCAAGCCATGAAATCAGCTAATCTAAATAAATATTTCTTAAAAGTTCGCCCATTCTTAAATGTGATGCTTTAGCATGAGGGCCATGTGGTGATGAGTGGATCTAAAAATCCGGGGAGTGTCAATGGGGAGTATTGGCCCAGTTGTTAGAGCAGTGTGCTTGTGCCCTGAGAAGTTTACAAGTACCCGATTCTATCCCCACAGCCTGCATTCTGGGTCCCTGAGAAAGACCCTTGACCCCACACTGCTTCCCGGGCGCCGCACAATGGCAGCCCCCTGCTCCCCAAGAGGATGGGTTAAATGCAGAGGTAAATTTCTCCAGTGTGAGATCAATAAAGTTCAATTATCAGAACTGTACTTACAAAAGACAGGGTTGGCTATAGCAATGACTGCCCCACCTGAGCTTTAGTGATGCCTTGTTGAACTCTCTTCTGGCGCCTGATCAAGAGGAATTTGCGGACTGCCTGCTGGATGACCGATGCGGCTTTGTGGCGACCGTCTAGCCAATGCCTGACAGCTCTCTGAAGCACCACCACCTTCCTCCTGTCCTCCAGGTATCGTCTCCTCTGCAGCCTCGCTCTAACCCAACGCTAAGAAAAGCCAGGAGAATTGGTCAGCTTCTACTCTTCAACAGTTCAAATGACCTCTGATTCTTAATAACGGTACCTGTACAGTGATGACAGACTGGACATGTCTTTTTGCCGATTCTAAAGCCCAGTGTGTTCTGAGAGCTCGCTGGATTTTTATGGCACTTAGGTGATGGAAAACTGCAGCTGTAAAACGTTGTCTCCGTTCTTCCTGGATTGCCTCTAGGGCCTGTAACCAGTCAGCATGAAAAGAGGAAATTACAGACAGTTCATGAAATTCAGACTAAGCTTGGTGCATGTAACTTTAAGGACTGTTAAAAACAAAATAGGAGCCTGAATTGAGGCAGTTACCTGACGTCTTGCTCTCCAGGCTCTGTAGCATCTCTGCAGTGTCACGGCAGCCTTCTTCATTACAGTGTAGCTGTTCCTCTGTGCTTTGGCCTCTATCGTGGCTCGGTATTTTCTCTGAAGCGTGAGAGCAGATGACTTCAGTTTCAAGTACTGCTGACGTTCACGATGGACTCTGAAAGCTCTCTGGATGATGACTGCGGCCATGTGTCTTTTTCTGATCATTTGTCTAGACTTCATTCCTTGATATGCAGCTTGTAAGGAGACAGCAGCTTTCCTGACCTCTTGATAATGCTTTGCTACGATGCGACTACATTTCTGGGCTCTGAATCTCTGCTGAAAGATGCACGCTGCCCAGCGTTGTCTCTTAAACGCCATTAGTTCTTTGTGTCTCCTGAAGTTTGCCTGAATTACAGCAGCAGCTCTGTGCATCTTCATAACCTCAGTCCTGGCATGGTGACCTCTGAAAGCTGCCTGCAGGACGACAGCAGAACGTTTAATTTTTAGGAAATGTTCTCTGTCTTCCCTCTGAAGCAGCAGAGCTCTGTAGCGTCTCTGGATAATGGTGGCAGCCAGGCGTAGAGCCTGAAACTTGACTTGCTCTCTGTGCTTTCTGAACTCTGACTGAATCACAGTTGCAGCTTGATGCCGTTGGGCAACCTTATTTCTGACTTGAAGTCCCCTGAATGCTGCTTGAAGACTAATCACTGCCTTCCTGATTTTTTCATATTGTTGTCTTTGTTGCCTGGCTAGAACAATAGCCCGATGCCTGCGCTGAACCCTGCGAACGGCGTCCTTTAAGGCCAGAAAATGCTGCCGCTGCCTGCTCGCTCGGTAAGCTCTCTGGATTAAACTGGCAGCCTGATGCCAGCAATACAACTGCTTTCGGACATAAAATCCTCTGTAAGCTGCTTGAAGAGTGATTGTTGCCCATCTTAGATGTTCATACTCTTTCCTTTGTTTTTTGGCTGCAACAACAGCTCGATATCGCCGTTGGACATTCACAACACAGCTTTTGAAGATCACGAATCGCTTGCGTTCGCAGTGGGCCCGGTAGAGTCTTTGGATCAGTCTTGCAGCCTCCTGCCTCCGCCTTAAAACTTGTCTACATTTCATGCCTCGATAAGCAGCCTGTAGAAGGACCACAGTTCTTCTGACCTGTTGGAAATGTTTGACATCAAGTCGTTTCTGCCGTTGGGCTCTAAACCTCTGCTGAAGGACGCATGCTGCCCAGCAAATTCTCTGAAAGTCCAGCTGTTGTTTATGCCTTCTGTAGCTGCACTGGATGACAGTAGCTGCCTTGTGCATCTTTGCCATCTCAGCCCGGACACGGTGACCTCTAAACACAGTCTGAAGAGTGATAGTAGCTTGTCTCATTTTAAGGAAGTTCTCCCTGTGCTGCCTTTGGAGAAGAACAGCCCTGTAGCGTCTCTGGATGATGATGGCAGAGAGCCGCATTGCCTGAAATTTGATTCGTTCTCTGTGCTGTCTGAACGCAGATTGGATCACAGTTGCAGCCTGATGCCAGTGAGAAATGTTCTTCCTTGCCTTATATCCTCGGAATGCTGCCTGCAGGACAATAGCAGATTGTCTCCTTCTCAGGTAGCTTTCTCTGTCTCTCCTCTGGAGAAGAAGAGCCCGATAGCATTTCTGGATGATGATGGCAGAGAGCCGTATTGCCTGAAATTTGACTCTCTCTCTGTGCCTTCTGAATGCAGTCTGGATCACAGTGGCAGCTCGATTTAAACAAGCAATTTCTTTTCTTGCCTGATGTCCTCTGTAGGCTGCCTGGAGGAGGACAGCGGCAGAGCGAATGGCTTGGTATCTCTGGGTTTGCATCTTTGCTGCCATTGTGGCACGGTATTTTCTCTGAATGAGCAGGACAGAGGATTTCATTGCAAGATATGCCTTGCGTTCACGGTGGGCCCTGTAAGCTTTTTGAATAACAGCGGCAGCCTGATGCCATTGGTTGATAAGTCGCCTGGATTTCGTGCCGCGATAGGCAGCCTGCAGAAGGATGGCAGCTCGTCTAACTTGTTGGAAATGTTTAATGTCCAATTGTTTCTGCCTGTGGGCTCTAAACCTCTGCTGCAGGACGCAAGCTGCCCAACGTTGCCTCTTGAAGGCCATGTTCTGTTTGTGCCCTCTGAAGGTTGCCTGAAGAATAGCAGCAGCCCTGTGCATCTCTGCAATCTTTTTTCTCACATGAGCTCCTCTGAATGCTGCCTGAACAACTACAGCAGAATGTCTCATTTTAAGGAAGTTCTCCCTGTGCTTCCTTTGGAGAAGAACAGCCCTGTAGCGTCTCTGGATGATGATGGCAGAGAGCCGCATTGCCTGAAATTTGATTTGTTCTCTATGCTGTCTAAACACAGATTGGATCACAGTTGCAGCCTGATGCCAGTGGGAAACTTCCTTCCTTGCCTTATGTCCTCTGAATGCTGCTTGCAGGAAAATAGCAGATTGTCTCCTTCTCAGGTAGCTTTCTCTGTCTCTCCTCTGGAGAAGAAGAGCCCGATAGCGTTTCTGGATGATGATGGCAGAGAGCCGCATTGCCTGAAATTTGACTCTCTCTCTGTGCCTTCTGAATGCGGTCTGGATCACAGTGGCAGCTCCATTTAAACAAGCAATTTCTTTTCTTGCTTGATGTCCTCTGTAGACTGCCTGGAGGAGGACAGCGGCAGAGCGAATGGCTTGGTATCTCTGGGTTTGCATCTTTGCCGCCATTGTGGCACGGTATTTTCTCTGGATGAGCAGGACAGAGGATTTCAGTGCAAGGTACGCCTTACGTTCACGGTGGGCCCTGTAAGCTTTTTGAATAACAGCGGCAGCCCGATGCCATTGGTTGATAAGTCGTCTGGATTTTGTGCCGCGATAGGCAGCCTGAAGAAGGATGGCAGCTCGTCTAACTTGTTGGAAATGTTTAATGTCCAATTGTTTCTGCCTGTGGGCTCTAAACCTCTGTTGCAGGACGCAAGCTGCCCAGCGTTGCCTCTTGAAGGCCATGTTCTGTTTGTGCCCTCTGAAGGTTGCCTGAATAATAGCAGCAGCCCTGTGCATCTCTGCAATCTTTTTTCTCACATGAGCTCCTCTGAATGCTGCCTGAACAACTACAGCAGAATGTCTCATTTTAAGGAAGTTCTCCCTGTGCTTCCTTTGGAGAAGAACAGCCCTGTAGCGTCTCTGGATGATGATGGCAGAGAGCCGCATTGCCTGAAATTTGACTCGTTCTCTGTGCTGTCTGAACGCAGATTGGATCACAGTTGCAGCCTGATGCCAGTGGGAAACTTCCTTCCTTGCCTTATGTCCTCTGAATGCTGCCTGCAGGACTATAGCAGACCGTCTTGTTCTCAGGTAGCTTTCTCTGTCTCTTCTCTGGACAAGAAGAGCTCGATAGTGTTTCTGGATGAGGATGGCAGAGAGCCGCATTGCCTGAAATTTAACTTGCTCTCTGTGCTTTCTGAATGCAGTCTGGATCAAGGTTGCAGCCTGATGCTGATGTGCAATCTCTTCTCTAACTCGCCTCCCTCTGAATGCTGCTTGAAGAATGGTTGCAGCCATCCTTATTTGTTGGTATTGCTTTCTTTGCTGCTTAGCTGCAACATTTGCCCGATATCTGTGCTGGACTTTAATGGCGTATGCTTTTAAGGACAGGTAGCGCTTACGTTGACGGTAGGACCTAAAAGCTCTTTGGATGACTCTGACAGACTGATGTCTTTTTTTTAGTGTCTGCCTTGTTTTCATCCCTCGGAAGGCAGCCTGTAGGACAACAGTGGCTCTCTTTTTAGCTTTCAGTTGTTGCACCTCTGCTCTCATTATTTTATTCGCTCTAAAACGTTCTTGTAATATTTTACAAGCCCAGATTAGACTTTTGAAGCGACTTCTCTGCTGGTATTTTCTAAAGTGTGATTGAATAGTCACAGCTGCCATATGCCTAATATACAGCTGCTTTCTTACAGCGTACCCTCTGTAGGCGGCCTGCAGATGAACAGCTGCCCTGCGCTTTGACTGGTAGTCCAGATGGAGTTGTCTTGCCAGGATTGCTGCTCTGTACCTCTGCTGACATATCAGAGTGGCTGCCTTGATAGCTAGGAACTGCTTTCTGTCCTTAGTGGCCAAAAACTTTCTCTGAATAATCCTAGCCGCTTGATGACACTCCGCAATTTTCTTTCTGACACTGTACCCTCGGTATGCTGACTGAATGACCACAGCTGCACGTCTCATTGTTTGGAACTGCTTCGTCTGCATATCTTTGAGCATTTTAGCCCTGTAGCGATCCTGAAGAATAACGGCGGCGCATTTCATGGCCAGGTATGCCACTCGAACTCTGTGCATCCTAAACTGAGCTTGGATTGCTTTTGCGGCTGTATGCCTCTTCTTTAGATCCTTCTTCACAATGAACCCCCTAAAGGCAGCTTGTATTGTTAAACTGGCCCGTTTCAGCTTCCTGAACTCAGCCTGCTGGGCTCTACAGAGGAGGACAGCTCTGTATCTGCACTGGATTAAAATGACTGCATGTTGCAGAAGAATGTATCGTTTCCTGCATAAGAACATTTTAACCACAGACTGAATGACTATTGCAGCCTGGTGCTTTTTCCTTTGCTCTGCCCTAACTCTCGTGCCTCTGAATGCAGCTTGGAGTGCAATGCACGCCGTTTTCTTCTGTAGATATTCATTCCTCATCTTGTTTCTCACCAAAAAAGCCTTAAAATGATGTTGTATGACCACAGCTGCTGCCCTTACAGATCTATACCGCATTTGCCCTTTATGTCGACGATAGTGAGCTTGTATCAGAGTTGCACAGTAATGTAATGTTTTTATCCGGTTCCTTTCAGCTCTGCCTCTCCAGGTAGCTTGGATAAGGATTGTGGCATTCTTCATAGCTTTATATTCCTTCTGTGCCTTGCAGGCTAATACTTTAGCTCTGTATTTCTGTTGTATCACAGCTGCAGTTTCTCTCAAGAGAAGATACTTCTTCTGGGCAGCATATTTCCTATACGCCGCTTGGATCTGTGTTGCTGCCTTGTGCTTCTTTTTCAGCAGTTCTCGAGCCACTTTTCCACGGTAGGCTGCCTGTATGGAAATAGCTGCTCGTTTCATCCTTACAAACTTTTCCCTTTCCAAGTCTCTTATCACAGAGGCCCGAAACCTCTGCTGGATCATCACTGCTGCGGATCTCATATTCACAAACAGTTTTCTGTCAACATGTCCCCTGAAGGCAGTCTGGATGACCGTAGCAGAGCGGTGCTGCAGCTTTAACATCTTAAAGTCCTGCCTCTGTGCCTTTCCTCTGAGATGAGCTTGGAGAAGCACAGTGCTTCTCCTGATCCTCTTGTACCGATGGGACCACAACTGCATTCTGTACCAAGACTGAATCTTTACAGCAGCAGCAGTTCGTTGAGCCATTTTATCTTTGTACCATCTTCTAAAAGCAGCTTGGATCACTTCGGCTGCATGGTTTTCCTTCTGGGTTTTACGATCTTTCCACCTTCTGTACGATCTCTGAAGCTTCACTGTAGCTTCCCGAATGAGGAGATATTGCTCTCGATCTTTTTTTAAGAGGAACCAAGTTCGAGCGTACTTCTGAAGGACTACAGTCGCCCAGCAGATCTTTGCATAAGTGGTAGCTGCTCTTTTCATTCGCCATTGGGCTTGAACTACGATGGTGTAATACCGGAGGCGCTGATAAGCCCTCAAGGTGGAAACTGCCCTCCAGTGAGCCTGAAGAGACAAAAAAGGAAATGTTTTTTGAATAAATGACATGCAGTAAGGTAACTACTCTGCACATAAACCATAGTTTAATACCAATATCCGAAACTGACATTTTTCACAACTTTAAACCCAATTGTATATGCTTCGATGCATTTTACTGATTTACATTGATTTACACACACTTATTCATAGTTTACACGGTTTTTAAGAGTTTTGAGTTATTTACTTAAGACTTAGCTAAACTTTGAGCCTCTTGATGAGCTAAGCCAAAGGTGACCCTGCAGAATGTCACAGAATACAAATTCCTTCCAATTTCTCATCAACAGTGGAGGATGAAGTACTCAACTTGAATAAAAGTAGAATTCCATACTCAAATCTTACTTAACTACAAGTAAAAGTTAATCAGTCAAACATCTAATCAAGTTAAAGTATTGAAGTACTCACTTTTGAAAATACTTCAAATTAAGTAATCAAAAGTACATGCATTTAATTGTTAAAAAATACAAATTAACTTTTCTAATATCAGTGCATTTATGTTTAATTTTCCTGTCATTTTAAAGAACCTTGTAACTTTCAGAAACCACATCACCCCAGAGCACATCACCCCAGTCTAAAGTCCTTACACTGGCTCCCTGTATCTCAGAGAATAGACTTTAAAAAACTTCTGTTAGTCTATAAATCTCAGAATGGCTTAGCACCTAAATACATCACAGACTTGCTATCAGTGTATCAACCCTCCAGACCACTCAGGTCTTCTGGCTCCAGCCTGCTCCACATACCTAGAACCAGAACTAAACTTGGAGAAGCAGCATTTAGTTTCTATGCTCCACTTATCTGAAACAAACTTCCAGAAAACTGTAAAAGTGCGGAAAGCCTGAGTTCCTTTAAATCAAGACTAAAAACACATTTGTTTAGGATTGCCTTCGACTGTTCTATTTAAACAGTTCAACTGAAACATCATTAGTTCAACTTTTTCATTTTCTTTAGTCAAACTGTTTTTAATGTTCTGTTTTGTTTCTGCATTTTTTATTTTATTCTATTTTATTTATTTATTTTTTTCCTACTTGCTATGATTCCGTTTTATTTTCCTATTTAATCATGTAAAGCACTTTGCATTGTCTTTGTACTAAATTGTGCTATACAAATAAATTTGCCTGGCCTTACCTGATGAATTGACGCTTGGAACCACACCAACAAAACTACACCAATTAGAACTTTAGCGTAAAAATGCCAGAAAAAATAAGGACAAATATTTTGATTATATTTTGATTATTTATATTAAAAACAAACGAGTCTTGATTGTCCACACACTTTCACTATGGAATAGAAGTTTAAGCTTTAATCTGTTATCACAAAAGAACTACAACTCTGCTTTGAAAATTCATCCTACTGAATGACTTGGCCACATGGCAACAGCTAATGCCTTAATAAAGTTTTTGATATGCAAATAACATCTGCCCTGAGTTTTTCCACGTTTTTGGGATGTCATGTAAATCTCTTAAACAGTGGTGTCTGAATTCAGTCCCAATGGCTGCTATCTGCCATGTTGAAATTGAATTTTTTTTTTTTTAAACAGCAACAGTGGATTACAAAGCTAAGCTAAGCAAAAATTAACAATTATCACCTTCCGCAAAATGCAGTGGAGTAGAAAATATAATATTTGATTTTGAAATGTAGTGGAGTGAAAGTGATAAGTACACCCCAAGACATTACTCAAGTAAAGATATAAAAAAAAAAAAAAGTACTTAACTACAGTAATCAAGTAAATGTACTTTTTTACTTTCCACCACTGCTTGTCAACCATTTAAAACTTTCCTTCCAAATGTTAAAATGTATGTTAAAATGCATCCTACAATATTGTCAATGTAATGTTATGGCACTGTTTTTGCTATAGCAACTTGGTCATTTTTGCCCTTATTTACTGTAATTTGTGTCTTTTTAGGTTGAGATTTACTCTGTCTTCACAGACCTTCTTCAGCACCTACCTGGATGACAGATGCTGCTTTATGCTGCAAATCCCAAAGCTGAGCCTCCTTTTGCTTTCTCAGCCAGTTCTGAGCCAAGTGTCTTCTCCAGGCTGACTGAATGACGATGGCAGCTTCATTCTGGCGCTTAACTCTATGTTTCATCAGGAAACGTCTCACCACAACCTGGATTTTCAGGGCTGCCTTGTTTCTCGCCTAAATTGAAACATGAGGGGAAAGGACATTCAGGAACATATGAACCTCAATATACTTCTTAATCAAGCATATTGAAGTTTCACCTGAAAGTTTCAATTGTTTCCATTAACTTGAAAGTTTGCTTGTCCAGAGCCCATTGTTGCAGGACTTTACTGTAATCTTTGTGTGAAAAAGTTCTTACTGCTACTATCATGCATGAATCTGCCTGCTATAGCTGCATCTGTGCCTTCTGTGTGGTGGCAAAGCAAATTTAAGGGAATTATCGCCAAATGTACTTCATTTATTTTACTCTTGTTAAATGTAACGCAACTAAAATTGAGTGCCTCTATTCTTTGAAAGCTGCTTTGCTAAATTGCAATTATATTGCAAATGCAATGAACTACCCAAACCTAATTTGGAACCATAGTTAGGATGCAGAATTGTTGGCTGTCATTTCTTTAACAATCAGTTTATTCTTTACTTTGACCTCAGCAATATTATTTTTGTTTTATAAGTAGAGATGCACAGATCTGAAACCTGAATCGAATATTGGCTCAGATATGACTAATTGGCAGAGTCGGACATCGATGATTTTATTTCAGAGAGCCAAACCAGGGAACTTTGCATCATTTTCTTTTTCTGCTTATTTGTTAATAAGTAATATAAAGTACATTAATATCCGTTTTCATCTTTAAGCTTTTCTTAACTATGGTTACATCAACACTAAATCCTTCATTCACACGGTACAAGGTTCATTAAGTCGGATCTGTATTGGATGTCGGCTGATGGGCTCAGCTCATCTGATTGGACCAAGAAAAAAAAAAATGGATCGGTGCATCTATATTTATAGGGAAACCCAACTGTAGTTCATTAATTCAATAAAGAAAATAGGGGGGAATTGATAAACAGAAATATATCAGCAACTTTAGCAACTAAAGACATTAAGCCTCTTTAAAATGCAGATATTATTGTAAAGATAATTTACTTTTACATCCCATAATTTAAAGAGAAAAATATAACATTTCGAACCTCATAGAGCAGCAGATCTTTCTTCAGTTTGTGTTTCCTCCATGCAGCCTGTATGAGCCGCGCTGCTCTGGTCTCAGTCCGAAGGTCCAAGAGGCGAGCGCAGAGAAACGACAGGTATGAGATCACAACCTGGAAAGGGATCAGAGGGTTTGATTGGCAGTTTTTAACAAAAATATAGGCTTTTTAAAGACCTAATTAAATGCTTATTTACAACGTTTGACTAACTCTGATCAGCAACATTTAACAACACCTCCTTGGCTTTTTAGGCCTCCAACTTCTCCTAACACACCATTTAGGATGATTTAAACATACCAAACCAATACTTCAATATCACTGGAAGACTTCAAACTTGACAAAGTTATGAAAGTAATGAAATGTGTATTAGTGTATTTGCAAGCTCCTAGACCATTGTTTGCAAGTGAGACCCTGAAAAAAACCTCTGAGCTTTTGAAAATTTTATTTTTTTACTCTTATGAATGATTCAACCCATTATAAAACCAATTAAGATGGTGATGAAGTTTTCTGATCAAATCTGTCAACCTCTTCTGTGTGGACTTCCAAAGACACATGGAGATGGAGAGATGAAATCGGGAGCAAATAAAAATATCATAAAGTAAACATGAATTGAAACGGATCGGATAAGGCATGAAAGCCAAGGAGGGGAGTTTGCTCAGCTCTAGACGTTTGCAGAAGCTCCTTGTTCTGGTCTCACCTTCTCGCTGGGGATGGTGTTGGACATGTCAGCGGGGTTGATCATGGCTGGTACGCCACCCAGGAAAGCCACTGCCGAGTTGACGAGTTTAAAGTTGTTCTTTTCATTTTCCAGAAGCTCTTTAAACTTCAGAGATGCAGAATCCTGTCCTGTTTAGATAAAACCTTACTTCGTTAAAACACAAGCCCATTTATAATAATGTTAAGATAATCACTGTTTTTTTCCTAATAAAGTTGAACAAACATAAGAAGCATTAGTAAAATAAAATGCTAGTCTAAAGATAAATAAACCAAATTTCTGCACACAACAGATCTGTACCCTGCAGGTCTGCTGGTCCAAAATCAAAGGAGCCGTCTGAGTCGCTAACTGAGCTGTTCAGCTCCAGCCGGCCCCTCGGAGAACACTCCACGGTCTGTGTGGTGCTGTGGCTGATGGATGCTTCCGGTAGGACACCGGGGTGGTAGTGGTGAAGCAGGAAGCAGAGGATGCGGCCATCAGAGAATGACACAGTGAAGTTCTCCACCTGCATACGCACAAAAATTATACTGCTTATTTACTTTCCACATGATTACACATTACCATGAATAATTCTAGCCGGTGTGACGGCCTGAAGACGCTAGTTGTGTACGACTTATTAATCTCAGATAAAATCTTTTGCATGTCAAAGCGGGGTGGACATATCTGCGCAGATCTTCTTTTCACTTCTGTCTCTGTGCCACAAAAAGTAAAACTATTTTCCACATTTGACAGATTATGAAATCTTTACCCCATAGATGCATTCTATGGAATAAAGCCCCGCTTAAAGAGCCTGTGCATCATCTTAAGCCAGAACAGATAGAGAATATTTATATGCCTATATTAAAAACATAATGAGATCTAGGCCTAGAAAAAAACAAAAACACAGCAATAAACACCATGGAGCAGTTTATATGCTAAATGAGGCAGAGAGTCGATTCTCAGAGAGAGATCTGGGAAGTCTTTCTCTCTTTTTTTTCATAAAGAGGAGAGAGAGATACGCCACGCTTAGCTGCTCTGTTTGCCCATCGTTATTTTGTTTTTTTGTGAGGCTCAAAGAGGATCATTACTTTATCTGTTTTCTGTCCTCCTGAATTCCTATCATGGGTAAAGTAGCCTATTCTTTTTTTATTGTTTCATTCATTGTTTTTGAACAAGTCTGACCTACTTGCCGTGTATGCTCTGTGCGACTTCGAACTAACTGTTTCCCGGTGCAATTAACAGATTTTTTGTATTTTCTCCCAATGCGGATGTGTTTTACTCTGAACTGCATCTGTCTTCCTGTAAGAACCATGAAATTGCTGCTGAATTGCTGTGTAGCCCTCTTGCTTAAAATTGTGTCGGGTGTGATCATTTCCACTTTCAAAGTGCACTAAACACCACGACATCTTCCGACAAAATTTTCTGTCAGATCAGACACAAAATCGGATTCGGTGTGTGTTCTGGCCTTGAGGTTGCTACTTAAATACTCTGGTTCCAAAATATCCGTTTCATACCAGCAGACAGGAGGGCTTGATGTCATCAAAATGACAAAAAACTGAACATTTTTCAATCTAAATCTCAGAGGTGTAAGAATAATTATGATTACTTCACCTGTGATTCCTCGTACAATCAAACAAGAGTTAAGTTGAATCTTCATGTCTGTTTTTCTTTTATTCATTTAAATTTAAGAGAACCATAAGAAAACTAATTTTACCTTTAGGTGGTAGAACTCACACACGGCGCAGACCCAGTCCATCAGCAGAGTAATCTTTCTGCTCGTATGTTTGTACGGCACCCTGGCCTTCACTGGACTCGGCTGGCAGCCCTTGTCGGCCCTCAAAAGGGCCAGTCTCCGCTTGGTCCTCAGAGTTTTCTTCAGGAATTCGATCTCCTCCTTGAGCTGATCCTCATCTAGGATAACCTCCACCTTTATTCATCCGATAGTAGAAACATAATGAAATATTGGTAAAAAAGAACCACTATGAAAACAGGTTGTTAGAATCAAAAGAAGATACACACTTGAAACACAAAGATGATTTTCCACAGGAGACTCAGGGTTTTTTCTCTGTGCCCATCCACAATGTCTCTTGAGTCAATGATGGACCCTAAGAACAAAGATAACAAATGAAGATTTGTCTAAATTCCATTTTTAGCCACTTATTAAACGTAAGTAAATGTTTAAATGAGAAAAGGAGGCCTTTTGTTACCACTTTCATCCTTGAGGTCAATCCCTTTGCCTTTGAGCACTTGCAAAGCTATGTCCACATTGTGCACTTTCTGAAGGCGGCTGATGGCAGGCAGGCGGAGCTTTGCGGACAAACGCCAGTCCTGAGCAAGCAGCTCCATCACACGTCTGGAAGAAACATCACACAGAAAGAAAAAATAAGAAAAAGAAAAAAAGAAAAAAGAGCCTCTGCAAAATTTCCACTGCAGATTTACTTTAAGAAAATACAAATCCTGCCATTGCAGGGACTGCCTGCCATCAGAAATAAGAGCAGACCAGCATCAGAGCAACCAGTTAAATTCAGGAAGTCTCACTTACACTAAACGGACGCCGCATTTCAAGTCAACTGCCAAATTTTTCACAGCAAAGTTGAACTCGTTAAGGGGCGTCTGCACGTGGGACACGGGTAGCCCGAGGTAGGCGAGGTGCCGAGGAAGAATCCCCTCTCCGCTAAGGAAGTCTCTTGAGAAGGCCAGCAGCAGGTCTTTACTCGCCTGTAAGAGGAACAAGAGAAGCTCAGGCTTAGGAAAACTTTAACTCAAATTAACTCAGATGGAAACCTAGTCAAAGTGTAAAATATGACAATTTATTGCAGAATCTGTGTATCTTTGGTTGGTTTAAATGTGTGCATATCAGTAGGTGTGTATATCCCTCAAACATTGCATTAAAGTAATTACGGCTTTTAAATGAACATATTTCTGTTTGTTTGGACAGAAAACTGCACGATTCCCAAGAATATTTTATGTAAAAGGTCCCTATTTGACCTTTGTGTTTTATACCAGTATTTATTTACATATGGTAACTAAGAACCGGGACCCTATCCCACCTTAAATTCTGCATCGATGCAGAACAGACAGGGATCGTGTTCGATCAGACGAGATTCCTTGGCTTTGTCTAAGAAACACACAAGCAGGAGCAGCTTCTTCAGTGTGAAGCGGGACAGCGCCTCCTCATGGCCTACATGGAAAAGAACAGTGTTTACATGATGATTGCAGGATGCCATTCACGACACATGAACAAGCAAATGTCCCTCATTTTGTCTAAGCCTCTAACAAATATCATATATTACCATCTTTGTATAGGTGAGGCACCCGGGCGTGTCTGAACTCTGCAGCAATGTCTGGGTTCCAGAGCAGCCGCTGGAGGATGAACGTAGCCAGGCCCAAGATGTCGCTGTTGCTTTCAAGAGCAATCATCTCCCCAAAAATAGTCTAAGGAGGAAAAACACAGGTTAAAAAAGCCTCAGTGTTCTGATTCTAAGAACACACAAAGTAAAGGTCAAATTCAGCTACCTCCAGCCCGATCCTTAACCACAGAGGATTGTATGACAGCAGCCAGTTCAGGACCTTTTTACGCTCACCTGGTAAAAAAAAACAAAACAAACATGCATCAGATAAAAAATATTTCACATTAAGGAATTTCTGGCTGTTGTTAATGTCAGAAATCATACCTATGTCTTTCCAGAGGTGGCGGTCTTTGCGGATTAATAGCCGCCGGGCCTCCACCTCCAGCTCCAGCCTCTGAATGGCTTTGACCATGGAATCAGAAGTGAAGAGCTGGCAGGCAGAGCGACGGAGGCGGTTGAGCTTCCGCTTGGCTGTGTAGGTGCTAAAAGACATCTCCTCCTTGGTGGGGGCTTTCGGCACACGGAATTTATCCTCGCTGCCGAAGGCGAGTGAGACGGCGCTTGCTGCCAAAGAAAATTAGAACATTAAAATAAAAAAATAAAAACTTATGAGCCATCTGCAACCTGAAAATCATTTAAAGTGTTTTAGTGCAGCTCTACCTTCAGGTACTTCAGTGATGACCTTGAAGTCATCGGGGGTGAGGACGTAGTTCAGCCAACAGGTGAACCCTTTCTCCTGCTTGTCTATCCACCTTTCATCATAGAACATGTTTTTGGCAGCGAACGGCATTGGGTGCCTTGGTAAAGCTAAAAACAAAAGAAGCAGACACAGAATACAGACTAAAATCTCCAGAATGAAACAGAAATAAATGTGATTATCTGAGGCCTACCAGTTTGTACAGGTTTGATGAAGGTTAGCTTTGCCTGAGCAACAGCAGCTACTTTTGAGATCCTCACAGAATGTGAACCTGATGCTTTTAGAGAGCCTGAAAGGGAACAAGACAAAGAGCATAATCTCTGTAACAAGGAAAACAAATCTGAATATTACATTTTGTTCTCCCCCAAAGCAATATTGGCCAAACCGATGGAGCTTTTTACTTTGTGAGCTGACTCTGGAGCTTGGACGTTTAGCCTGGGCAACAGCAGTAGACCTTCCCATCCTCAGAGATTTAGTCGTCACAGTTTGGGCTGAGCCTAAAAACAAGTCTAATTTAGTTTTTTTAAACGGGGCGATGTGTTCTAGACAGTTTCTAAAATGCATGTTAGCCTTTGTCTGATGAATTTACTCACTTGTGACAACTCTCTGCTGCTGAGATGTGTCTCTTTTGCTGCGTACTGAAGGTGGGGGATCAACCTTCCCAACCCTGTTCCTCTTTACCTGCTCCTTCCCAGAGTCTTCGGTCTTTGAATGAGTTTTCAAGTACTCCTCACTCTTCCTCTTCTTGCCTTTCAGTGCCAGCTGAACAGGAAACAAATCTTCCTGAACAGAAACGGCTGTGGACACACTGGACAGAAGTGGCGATGAGCTCCATGAGGTGATGGTGGGTGTTGTTGGAGCGGGGATCGCAAGAGGCGATGAGGTGGCCGAGAACGAAATGGGAGAAGGCGCGGTGTCTGGTAGGGTGGATGTCGGAAAGGTTTTGGTTAAAGGGGAGATGTGAAGCCTTGAATTGGGGCTGGAGAAAGTGAACTCTGGGATTTGATGTTTAGCATCACTCGGTGTAGTTTTTGTCTCTGTATCTATGACTGGCAGGCTCGGAGTTCCCGGACCCGAGTCACTCTGGCTGCCGCCATCAGAGAGTTCAAGCGTTTTCTCCAGAAGTCGGCGACGAGACTTCTTTATTTTCCTCCCCCCTGGACTGCTGACCTCCACAGATGCTTTGGTTTTAGTCACAGTGGCAGATGTGAATGAAATCTTTGCCTTTTCTGTTACTTTCTCCTCGTTTAAAACCACTTTTTTGCTGACGAAAAACGTGAGCCTTGGCTCATGAGATTGGGGCAGCTCCGGGCTAGCCAACATCGCTTCAGCACCGCAGGCACCATTCCCACTCTTAGACTCCAAAGAATCAGAAAACTCACAGCTAGAACTGGTATTTCTTGGACTGCTGTCAATATGTGAGAGATCAGAGCCTATCAGAGCCAGGGCGTCGTTTAGAGATGGAAGATTGGGTTCAGGTGCCACACCACCAACATGAGCAGAACTCTGTGGGCTTCCCGAATCGATGCGAGGCATCAGCTTTTTCAGCACCTCAGGTGTACCGATCGGAGACAGAGTCCTGTTAAACACCTTAGAGAGTTCCTTGTTTTTAGGATTTTCCGCCATGCTATTAGCGTTAGTAGACAGGCTGCCAGAGTGGACGAGCTTTGCAGACGGGACAAGCAGGACAACAGGGGAGTTCTTCTGATCTGACAGGACAACATCTCCATGGGCCGGTTTTGATGCCTTCTGCTCGGCTGAATTTAAGCAGCGATGGTGAAAGGGTCTGTCCTTGATAAGGATTCTCTCTTTAACAGTTTGTGTCTCAGAGAGCGAAGCCAGTGGGCTGCGGGGCTTTTCCCGCTTATACTGAGGCTGCCGGGATACTTGGAAGGTTTTGTTTGGCGCCATCTTCCCAGGACATGTCATTCTCATAGACGTTTGGGGTTTTTCCATCCCCTTATTTTTGATTGAATCCCATAAGCTCTTCTGTAAAAAAAAATATTAAAAAAAGTTATGAAGCTGTGTAGTTATACTAATATGTTAAGGAAAAGGTTTGACAATTTAGGATGTGAAGTCACTGTCGTCTACCAGTTAAACTTCCCAATCTGGCTATTTTCATTTTGCTCTTTGACATCATACCAAAATAAAAAAATAAAAAAACTTTTAATTTCATATTGATTTTTTTTAAATTAAGCACATTAAAGCGTATGTGTCAAGTAAGCTTATAAATGACACCTGATGAAGGTCTTTAGCAAAAAAACTAAAACAAAAACGAAATAGCTGTAGGCTCTGGCATCAAATGAAGAAACGACAAGATGGACATAAAAACAGTGACAGTACCCACAGCTGGTCAAAGATAATTGCAACTCATTATTGCAGCTCTGGTTACTGGAACATACTGTGAAAGATCAACTGTGATAATCCTGGTGCTGTTGGATCTAAAACTTTAACTCATTCAATCTTTCATATATAGAAAACTAATAAAACAAAGTGTTATGAGCTTCATTTTTTTCATTCTTACATAACATTTAGCCAACTGGGCAACTCCTCCCTGCAGGACGTACCCACAGAAGAAAAATAATAAAAAAAATTAAAAATTGTTTCAAGTATTTTGAGAGGGAGAGGAAAGAAGAAAACTGGCATATACTGTAATGGTTTTTAATATAAATTCCAAATATTTCTACAAATTTACATTAGGACTTAAAGGAAGACAAAGGGATCTCCATTCCTGAGGGTTGAATTATTACCAACCAGCCTGAAGTTATTAATCGGGTTGTTTGCTGATTGCATTACCAGCTGTGCCCTCTACTCAAAAACAGCTTATATTCTAGTATCACTCTACAATCAGCCAGACCAACGCAGAAAAGCATTTGTTAAATTAAGCTAAGTTTGTTATATTAAAGCACAGATTTTAATTAGGGCTGCAACTAACACTTATTTTGCAAATACATTAATCTGTCGATTTTTTTAAGATGAATTGATTAATAATCGGATAGCAAAAAGTTCCTTAAAGAAAGATTATTACAAAATGAAACCTGATGAAACTAAAACTTCACCACTTTATAGAGCATATTGACAGTATTTTTTTTTTATATTTTAAATGCAAAATGTTTGAACATTTTTTAAAATTTTCATATAATTACTTCTCTTAGTGGGTTGCTCTGACAGCTAAATGCATTTTTTTTAAGTCTCTATACTCCAATTAATGAATAATCGATTAGTAAATTAGTTTAAGATTATTTCAATAATCGGTTAATCAAGATTAATGCGCTTAATTGCCCCAATTTTAATACAAGTTAAGGAATAAATAACCCTACAATTGCTGTTTTAAATGCTCTGTTGGTGTTTAATCTATTTCTTAAAATAGTCTTAAAAAAAAAATATATATATATATATATATATATATATATACACACACACACACACACACACAAATAAATATAAATAATACATGTTGGAAATAATAGTGGAATAATAACCTTATGAGTCAGTTATATTCAGCTTCAGTGTGGAAGTACCTTTTTCTTTTTGGGGGCCTCTGCTCTTCCCAGTAAGACAGCCTGGTGTTTAAGGACCCCATTGGCATTGAATGTGAGGAGCTCCCTGACCCCACCTTCCTCTGCTGGAGTCCAACTTATTGTCAAACTGAATGAGCTCTCAGGCTGCAAACAAACAAAAAAAAAAAGGAATATCTCTTCAATAACAGACAGGAACATTAGATAGGCATCTTGATGACTTTACATTTTTAACCAGAAAGTCTCCGTTTGTAAATAACTGTTCTGAACAGTCTGCTCTGAATAACAGTTGATCATACCTGGATCGTGAACGTGTCATGGTCCACAGAAAAGCCTTTACTGGAGGGGATCTTTTCCACGACAACCTCCGCTTCGGCATAGTCAATCGGGTTAACAATTTGTAAAATAGCCGATTTCGATGTGCCCACCTTAACAGTGCCAAAAGTAACAAAAGGTGGCTTTGAAAACTGAATGAGACTCAGAACCGGAATCTCATTTTCCTTGTTAGGGTCCTCTCTCCTCGCCGGACTGATGTTCTGAAATCCCCGCTTTGCTGAGGTTATCAATTCAGCCATATTTTTGAAGGATAAAAAAAATTATTGCTACATGATACGTGGTCCAAAGCAATTCAATTTAGAAAAATATTATCGGAGTCTTGAAACACGACAGCTAACAACAAACGTTATCTCACATCCAAAGAAAGCGTGATTTTAAATTTTCTACAAAACAACCAGCCAATGAGTAGCAAGCAGCTTTTGAGAAACGTCCAATGGGTGAGCGTTTCTCTCACAACGACACGCAACGAAGAACCAATCAGCGTTACAATTTATCTTTAAACAACCGTAGGCCGCGCCTACATTTAGAGATCGACTCTAGCGAGAGGTGCCACTCGTATTTCTTTTTTCTTTTTGAGAGTAACACAGGTGAAATGATTATTGTAGTATTTGGTTTAGTAACATTTCAGCCCAGGAGGCTGCAACTCTTTGAACTTATCATGTGTATGAAATTTCTTTTTTTTATGGAGAGCACAGTGACAAAAGTAATCTCGTAAATTCTTACTACGTGAAATATGTTTATTTTCACAATCTTTGTCTAAATCTAAACGTAGCCTTTTCTCAAAAACAGGCAAGAAAGGATGAAATACACCACACAAAAAAAGGATGTGTTGACTATCGATCTGATCTGGTCCTCTGTATATGTCAGACGAATCATCCAAGTGGTTAGCTCGCCGTGATCGTATAGTGGTTAGTACTCTGCGTTGTGGCCGCAGCAACCCCGGTTCGAATCCGGGTCACGGCATTAATCACTAGAGGCAAATGATTTTACACATGAATTTGAAACACACTATATTATATTCATGCACCCTATCACTTAGACACATATAAACTGTATTGCCCGCTGTTTACCGGAATTTTGGTTAAAAGCACCAAAAAAAAAAAAAAAAATACTTAAAAAATATTAGAAGCACCTGGTCACTTTACAAGACAAGAAAGTCCAAAAATAAACACCAAAATAAACTTATAAATGCTTACATTCACGAAATATTGGGCAGCACTGGTGAAAGATATTCGGTGGGACGAAAGGACAAAACAGTAAAGAAGACTGATTACTCTCTGGTAGAGACTGACATTTTTTCAGGAATCCCACGGGTCATGGGATTCCCGTGGGATGGGAGTCAGTATTAGTAATGATCACGTGATTGGGACGGTACAGGATTAAACATTAACGGGAGCAGACAGGAGCAAACCGATAGTAACTAAAAAAAAAAAAACTAGGATCGATGCCAAAAAATAAAATAAAACAGAAAAAAAAAATCCAGTACTCGCGTCACCATTTTGTAGTTTTTTTCCTTGAAGCCTACACTATAATGCAAGTCAAAAAAAAACGACACAACCCAAAAAACAACAGTGCTTCCACTCTGAGTTTTTCACCCGCACTCAAAAACAACAAATTCAGATTCAGCCAGAGTATTGGCAGGAATCGTATTGAAGACAACAAGAATGGGAGTGGTGCAGGAGCGGGAGTCATTCTGAATGGGAGCGGGATGGGAGTGGGAGTAATTTCACCAGGAGTGGGACGGGACAGGATTTAGATTTCTACTCTGGCCCGAGATTGGGACGGGACACAATTTTTTTCTGTGGGAGTGGGACGGGACAGGAGTGAAAATCCACTCCCGTGTCAGTCTCTACTCTCTGGCTCCCTCCCATGTTGCTCTCCATTGTTTACATTCCTGATTTCTGTGGCATTGGTGACATCATCAATGCCAACCCAGCATGATAGCATCACCAGACACACAGCAGTAGTGATGGCTATTTCGAAACCTCGTTAACTAATAAACCAATTTGACACAATTGGCCGAAACTCGACACCATGCTCGACACATTAAAATGGCGCCATCTGATGGATAACTATTTAGAACTACAAGTGAGTGGGGATCCTAATGTCTGCATTATGATTATATAAATAAATAATATTAAAAAAAAAAAAAAATCTCTGTGAAATTACAACATGATACAAAATTCTTCTGATGCATAACAGATATGCAATTGTGTGGTCCTGTCAATATTGTTCCGAGTTCTAATCCATACTGTTTTCCAAACTATGTATACATTAATTTGGGTACTTAAGATGTACGCCCCTCAACTATCAGATTTTGAATTTAAATCCCACCCGGTTACTCTATTTCATATCTGTTTTTGTTTTTTTGTTAATTTATGTAAATTAGGACACTTCCTGGCCTGTATGGACTCATATTTGAGTGGGCTGCACCTACAAGTATATAAACACATCAAGAAATAATCCTTTAAATAGTACTGACAGTAGCGAAGCTCGATATAAAGTGTGACATATCGAGACCTTGCTCGCAGTGGTCACGTGACCAGGGGGCGCTTGAAACATTTCTTCTGAATCAATTCTAAACTAGACTTAAATATAACATTTTCTTTCCATGTCTTTAAATAAACCTATAAACGGGGAAAACCCTCAGTTTGAGCCGTTATTCTGCTGCATTTAAATACCTTAGTGGTATTGAAACACCCAGATTATTAGAATTTACTGTGAAGCTCGATACAAAGTGTGACGTATCGAGACCTTGCTCGCAGTGGTCATGTGACCGGGGGGCGCTTGAAACATTTCTCTGCGACACTTCTTCAAAAAGGTTTAACCTGAGTTGAGCAGACTGACTCGAGCCTAGCATCACTACAAGCATTGGGGGAATAGAGGTCATGCAACTTGCCATTGGGGGGTCAGACCCAGCTTTTTTTGCCAATGGGGAAGGGGGCCAAATGTACAATGTTAACGGGTCAAACATGCTTTTTGGACCAAGTGGTTAGCTTGCCGTGATCGTGTAGTGGTTAGTACTCTGTGTTGTGGCCGCAGCAACCCCGGTTCGAATCCGGGTCACGGCATGAACTACTAATGGGAAAGCTTTTGGGGAGGTGCGGTTGGGGTGGGAACTTCTGGCTTCCACTCCCACAGATAGTTCTTTTTGTTACTCTGTATTTGTGACAGTGTAATGACAATAAAATTGAATTCTATTCTGCTTGTTTAAAAAACTGTGTTAACCCACTAATTTTAGTGGAAAAGAGGCCCTAGAAGCACTTTCACTAAGTATGAAAGACTGAAAGGAATACACAAAGCAAGAAGTTTATTTTTGATTTGTCACCTGCTGTCTACTTTAACATCATGTGGCCAGCTTAAGCTTCCTCCCCATCCATTATTTATTGTCTGATTGTCCTGTGGTTCTGAAAAAGGAAGAGGATTGCAATAAAGTAAAGGCCTCAATAATTGTTAAGATGTGCCATGTGAATAAATATCCATTATAAATTAATCAGTGGGTGACTGTGGTGGGTATAGATGTGGCTGTCTATGTATTTTAGGTTTATCTGCATCAAGCAAACTATTCTGAATCAATTCTAAACTAGACTTAAATATAACATTTTCTTTCCATGTCTTTAAATAAACCTATAAACGGGGAAAACCCTCAGTTTGAGCCGTGATTCTGCTGCATTTAAATACCTTAGTGGTATTGAAACGCCCAGATTATTAGAATTTACTGTGAAGCTCGATACAAAGTGTGAAGTTGTATCGAGACCTTGCTTGCATTGGTCACATGATTGGGGTGCGCTTGAAACATTTCTCTGCGACACTTCTTTTTCAAAAAGGTCGAAGCTAAGTTGAGCAGACTGACTCCATAGATATCCATAATAAAGGCTAGATGTCTCGTCCGCGCTGCTGGCCAATGGGGGTCGACGTCCACACGTGGCGGCCATCTTGCCACAGGCAGCTCGCTCATTCGTAACATTGTGTTTTAAAGGCGCATGTACTGAAATAACCATAACTTCCTCAATTGTCTAACTGTTTGGTTTGTTAAACAAAAGTCAGACATGTAGTTATGACACTGCACACTTATGAATAATTATAACCATGGAATTTCATATGAAAAGAACATTGAATAGAACATACAGGTGCAATAAATATACACATGCACAAGGTATTTATGTTAAATCAATATATGTTATTAAAACTCAGTGTACTGAATGGCAACATGATATATAGATATATCTAGATATCTATATAGATATCTATCTATATAGATATCTATATATATATATAGATCTATATATATATATATATAAAAATATGTATATATATATATATGGTGTAGAAGCATAATCCAGGTTTCAAATTAAAGGTAACACTTTGAAGTTTCATGTAGACTATTCGGATTATATATCAGGGGTAATTACACAAAAGTTCCTATTTTTAAACCATTATAAAAGTGACATTTATTTGCTATTAAAATTGGTGCAATAGTCCCCTTCACAAGTATATATAGATGTAGCATGTTGAAATCCCCACCTACACTACTGTGATGGTATACACATGGAAGACAGATTTAAAAAATGACCCAAAAAACATAGCTTGGCTAATGCCCTTTGAAAAGGAAGGTTTTATTGAGCTTCTGTATAATGTACAAGAAAGCGTTGTCCACAAGGCCATCAAAGCGGACAGGAAGGTAGCTGTGGTCATGTACTAGCGCAGGAATGTCAGCAAACGGGGATGGAAGATCTTCTCCTCCTGCTTACACATTATATAACCTGCAGAAACAAAAACAAAAGTGACCAACAACAATTCACGGTGTATAAGATTGGTATATCAATATGTGATTAAATTTCAATGATACACATGCCCTTTGAAGATGAGCTGGAAAGTTGAAAATGTTTGGCACAACACCATATTTAAGTTGTCCAAATGAAACTAATACAAACTTATAAAAGCTTTGAGTCAACAACAATCTTGTAATACTATTATGTCATAGCAAAAGTCTGGCATCTTCCTTTTAATAAACCCAGCAAATTCCTGTAACATAATGTAAGATGTGTTGACAAACCAAATCGATTGGAAATCATGTTAAATTCTGCCTCTTCCACTGATGTACAGTTGCTGGTTAACGTTAGCAGCTAGCTAAACTGTAACGTTAGCTGCTAACTTACTAACGTTAGGTCTCACTTTGCAGCTTCTTGTTATTAGCCAGCTAACGTTAGGCTAATAATGAAAATACAACAACACTCAGATTATGGTTATTAGCCAACTAATAACTATAATAAGGTGACCAGATTTCTGAAATCAAATCTGGGGACATTTCTTGCTCGTGGATAAAAATCAATACATCTTATCGAGATGAAATTAGGAAACGGGGACAGTAATGGTTTCATA